ATATATACACTTAAATATTACTAAAATCTAAAGTAAACAAAAAAAAGTATTAACGTATATGTATATCTATTGAAGTGTTGTATATTACCTCATTGTCCGTCTTCTTTGCCGACAATGGTTTCTCTCGCCAGACCATCCAGCCTCCAAACAGTGCCATAATTATCCCGTGTCCAAGGTCACCAAACATAATGGCAAACAGGAATGGGAAGGTTATGATGGTGTAGGGTGCTGTGGACAAGCAAATTACATTAGCAGCTATAACGTCACAAGGTGAGCACATCCATAATCTTCTCACTCGGTGCTTCTTGCCTGCTATTGTAAGCCACCAGTTAATATTTTGATCTCCATTTGGCATAAAATATGCATACATTCTAGTTCAAGTAATTAGATTTGGGTAATAAGCTGGCTGCTTTTATCCATCGTAATTGTCTACCTATTACACAAGATGGGGAAGTACCAGCCTAAAATTCACTTAAAATATACCATTTTTCACTTCTGCCAATGTATTATAAGCACACAAATACAAATAAATAGGGATGCACTGATAATGCCAATCACAAAGATAAATTCTTCATAGGACCTTTACCACAGTAGCTCACTTGATATCTCCACCCAAATGAAAGGGAGAGGGATGGGGGTGGGATGTTTGAGGGTCAAAAAGTTTAACAAACTGTTGCTACAGACAGGCGGGCAGGTGGACGGAAGGATGGATATACAGTACAGAGAATATAAACACCCAGGGAGCCGGTCGGCCGAGCGAGGGAGCCGGTAGGCCGAGTGGACAGCACGCTGGCCTTGTGATCCTGTGGTCCTGGGTTCGATCCCAGGCGCCGGCGAGAAACAATGGGCAGAGTTTCTTTCACCCTATGCCCCTGTTACCTAGCAGTAAAATAGGTACCTGGGTGTTAGTCAGCTGTCACGGGCTGCTTCCTGGGGGTGGCCTGGTCGAGGACCGGGCCGCGGGGACACTAAAAGCCCCGAAATCATCTCGAGATAACCTCAAGATAACCCTCAAGATAACCCTCAAGATAACCATCAAGATAACCCTCAAGATACCAAACACCACACTCAAGATAGATAACCTCAAGAGAAGAATCTCAAGATAACCCTCAAAATATACAGTACAAGGCCTTTAAATTCTTATTGAATTTTGTTGACAAAAATCATTTGAAAGGATTTTTAATGGTAGAGGTAAAGTAATTTTTGTATTTGAATGTAATAAAAAATAAGCCTCAAAACAAGCTTTCCAGGAACTGAGAAAAGTGAAGAATGAGGTTCCTTGGCAGATGATCAAGTAGACATGCTACCTTCTACAGTGTATTGTATATTCAGTGCTGTGTACTGTTGACATTAGTGCTGATGAAATATAAAACACTGTAGCCTATGTTTACATTTAAATGCTTAAATGTCAATTGGTGGAGATGTCAGGAATGATATTCTGAAAATGATTGAGACCCCACAACAAATTATAACTAGTTTCAACAGTGTCAATGAATATCCTGAGCCAAATGTTTTGGTCATGGGAAGTACTGGGCCTGGTTTGAAAAAAAAGATCAAATGGCTAGTTGTAATGGAAAATCTTTATCTACAGAAATTTTGGGGGGCCATGGGCAATGAATCTGTTTTGGAAGAAATTGTTCAATAAGGGTTTTAAATTTGCAGAGGTGGTCCAAGAAATGTGTTTTTCACTAGAGGAAAGATTGCTACAACCAAATAACTTGTAGAAAAAACATTATGAATGAATAGCTCCAAATCAACCAGGATGTTGTCATGCTGCAAAAGCCAAAATGGAGGGGGTAGAAGTAGCAATGTTTTATTGTATATTTTATTTGCTATTATTGTATAATAAAAACATTACCTGATCAAGTCTATTTTTCTGACATACAAACATGACTCATTAAGCAAGAGAACAGGTTGCATACCTCATTCTCCAAAATTTATTTTGCTCTTCTCTATTTTCTTGCATCCTTCTATATACAGTACATTGTATTTAAAAGAATCTTAAAAAGGCACTACTAACCTGGATTTATTTCTCGGTACGTAGCCACACCATACGAATCAATTAGAGCCTGGAATGCTTTGGTGAATTTATTGGTCCGGTGAAATGTCGGTGGTGCTTCTATAGTGCTGAGTCTATTTAGAATTGCAGGCAAGCTTCCACTTTTTTCCTTTAACAAAAAAAAAATTATAATACAATATAATACAGTATAATATAATATACATATATATATATATATAGAGCTTGCCTGGTTTAAAATTCTGAGATGAACCAATCTTCCAAATGTGGTAAAAATGCAATTCAAGCAAACTAGATATGCAAGTAGGAATACGGTAAAAAGCAAGAAATTGATGACAATTTTTTATATGAACACTAATACAGTATACAGAAACATATCTATATTTTGAAGCTAATAATTGAAAACTTCAAAAGACTTAAGAAATTGTAGAAGGAGAGAATGCAGAAAAACTGTTCCCAATAAAGCTTAAAAAGATTGTGAATGATATCAAACCATATTTAATTTATTCATTCTTCAACCCTTTGTTAGCAGTATTAAGACAAAGATGCTTTGAGGATATGAAAAAACTAATATTTAATGATGAATATACCATTATTCAAAGTATATAAAGAGTATACAAAGCTGAAGATTATACCTAAAAATTTAAAACTAAGAAAAATATAATCCAGTAATGCATTATCAACCTAAACACAAGTAGCTACTCACCGTGCCTCGCCGAAGAGCTAACTGCACATCTTCTAGATTAGCAACTGGAATCCAGCATTCAGCAATCAAGCCATTTTGAATCACATCCAAGTTAAACATATTTAGTGTATGATAGATGCTTTTTATCTTCCAGACCTTCATCATCCACGCCCTGATATTTCGTGCAGCTGACACCAACACTCGATGACGGTGGTCTTGCGTCTGACTCAACACCTGCAACGATTCAAATGTACAATGTTAGGATTATGACCTTTTAAATGCAGATGAAACTAAAAGGGTGTTTTGGAGAATAGTAAACATGTGTTTAATTGGCTGATGTAATGAAAACACTGGTTAGGAAAAATAATATAGGAAGAGACAGCTAGATGGTCACATAAAGGAGTGGTAGAGGCTATCCTAATGTAAGGATGAGAGATCGGCACAGACTGAATACACAAAATTAAAGAATTAGTAAAATACAAATGGATAACCTAATATACATATTTGTGGTGAGAGTACTGTATACAGAATTATCACTGAAAATGTTATGGAAAAATGTGCAGTACAAATAAATAAGAGTGGAGAGAGTATCGAGATTTGTTAAGTGACCAAATGGTTGACCAACAATGGTCAAAAGTATTAAATGGTAGAGAAAATGACTACTGTCCGTGGAACAAGTTTAAAATTTAGTATAATTTTTTAATCACAATTCATGGAGAGCTCTCGACACCTATAGTTGTAAAAAATGATGGGGGTGCCGCTATGAATGTTTCCCCATATGATAATCTAATTAACATCTTTACCTATATTACTCAATTTTCCATACCCATTTCATTTTTATTCAAGTTACTTACAGTATTGAGATCATCTAGACGCGTTTTGACTCCCATGGCCATTTCACGTCTGTCAGCTGGAGCCTCGGGACATGGGTACATGGTGGCTCTGAAACCTTCACAGATCTTCTTGACACGCATTTTCAGATGATCACCTTGGAAAAAGATGATGAACACAGACTTGTAGACCTGCTCTCCCTGTAAAAGCAAGATATCATTACACCACATTTAATTGACATGTGCATCAGTAAAATAAAACATTTTTCCAAAATCCAATTAGCATGTACAGTGCATACAGGAATTGAGTGATTAACAGTACACCAGGGAACAACACCAAATTCGGCAACATGAAGCTGAACTAGTAGAAAGTCTTAGGAAGGCTACAATAAGCTTGGCCAGGAGGGTTAAAGTGCTGTTAAGCATTAACAGTTGGGAAGGCAATCACCAAAGGTTTCCAAGGATTAGATGTTGTGATACTCTTTTGACCTAAAATCAAGTTAAAAGTTTTGCCCAGAGTTAACCCCTGCACTGCATCTCTGTTTATAGCCGACACCCTGGGGCACAAGGAAAAACAATTCCAACAAATTTTTGTCCCTTCTAATATTGTTAAAATGCATTTCCTAATCATGGTGAAAAAAAACTGTGGCTTACTTTAGCCATGAAGAAGCAAGAAAATTGTCAGATGATGTCACAATTCATGAGCGTTCATGGAGCCATCACTCCGTAGTGGTCTGCATAGGGAGGGTGTTGACATGAAGAAATTTCTACGTATTTCAATATCTGAATTTTTCTCTCTGATTTTTTGCTGTACAGTAATATTATTGAATAGTGTCATTTGAGAATATATACTGTATAATAAAGTGCGTGAAACATGGGACTGCTCAAATATATTCGTGTCACTAACATGCACACCATATTATATTCTATGAAAAAAAAAAAATTGCCGTTATTATACTGTACATACATTGCGTGTAACTAGCTACATTTTCATTCACCATTACAATCCACTATGCAGTTCTGGCGAGTGTAATAATCTCGTAACCAGTTAACAGAGTTTGTCCTAGCCCCACACGTTTTGCATGAAGTCATAACTGCACACTGAATATACTGTATTATATTTTCTTTCCATTTGTAATACTTTTACTATGGTTTTACGCAAATTCATATCAATAAAGAATTACCAATCTTATCATTGTTTATAATATAATTCATGTGGCAAGATACAAGATTTAAAGGATAGGCTAAAATAATTTATAACCATATCAGTGCTAGCTGCATTATATATACAGTACTGTACTGTATTCTTATTACTGTATCAAGAATAGTGGTAATTTACCAAGTGGTAATTTTCATCCAACAGGTAAATGAAAGCAGCACCATTCCTGCTGGGTCACACTGAAACTGAGCCACCATAGGGGGTGATGTGGTGGAGGCTGACTCCATACACAGTTTCAAGTGTAGATATGACAGAGCCCGATAGGCTCAGGAATCTTTACACCTGTTGATTGACGGTTGAGAGGCGGGACCAAAGAGCCAGAGCTCAACCCCCGCAAACACAACTAGGCGAGTACAACTAGGTGAGTACCTAGGGAACACAATAGATACAGTCGCCTACCATACATAGAAAAACAGTTTTGTAGCGGCCACTGGATATAACTACTGTCACCGTAGACATCTAAGTTTGCTGTTATGTTAGTGGTTAGATCTTTATTTTAGGGAGTCAGAAAAGTAATCCCCAAAATTCTAAACAAGAATAATCTCAAATTTTCTCTCATAATACTGTATAGTACAGTGATGTATAACATTAGTAATTTATGCTCTACTTACGGAAGCTGGATCCTCCAAAGGATCGTCAATTTCAGCTTGACGAAGAAAAACATTTCCCCGACAAGCACGCCACAGCATTCTCTCAAATGCAGGGATTCTTTCTCTAAGGATAACTCCAGCCACAAATCTGTGTAGAAGTGACATGTGACCTTCAGAACATTAGGACAAAAATTTGCATGTCTCATTAAATAGGAAACATAAACCCGTTTTGAACTTTATATTAATACTGCTGCCATCGGTGCAGGTGTTATCACTACATACTAAACCTCAAAAGAATGTTAAATATTCTAAGCATTTTTCTCCACTTTAATTATTCCTATACCAAAATCATTTTGATGAAAATTTAACCATACTTCGTAAATGACAATGTGTAGCATTTGTACATCTGAATTTTTCCAAGAGCATTTAGATATTAAGATGACTTGTAAAGTATGTCCATCACCCGATATTTTATTACATAACAAACCGAGCAACACTAAAAACACTGTCCAATACACTACAAAAAATATAAAATAAATAATGCCTATGCATATGCACACCATTTAAGACATTCTGTAATTCCATTTTAAGTACATAACACATTGTAGCTTATGTTAACTGCTAATATAAACTTTGTAATTATTATTAATCTGTTACCCACTTTTATGGGTAAGAATATCTCAGTACAGAGAAGAGAAAATTAAATGAATGTGCCAACACATACAGTACTGTACTTAATAAAGGTGCATAAAAAGACTCCAAATATATCCTATGTTAAAGAAATGTCTTAGCAGAATATACTCCGTGTTAACATTGAAAAAACATACAAAGACTGACAGACAATAGAAAGAGATGTATAAAAATATTAGTTTGATAGGTATATATACTGTAATAAACTATACTCTCAACTTGGATATAATGATGTGGGCTTAATTAAATTAAAATAGTATTATATATACAGTATATAACTACAAAAGTAAGGAAACCATGCTTATTACAAAACTTTCTAACAAGCAAATGATACATTACTAGAGATTTGTAGACCTATCATCAAAGCTGAAGATTATGCATCAACAAATAATTACACACACACACACACACACACACACACACACACACACACACACACACACACACACACACACACACACACACAGTACAGCATTTATAAAAGTAAAACGCATACATACCCAAGTTGGATTGGGCCTTTAGAGTCTTCAGGAAGCAAGTTTTGAGTAAGACTCGTTTGCCCGCCAGACTCCAGACTACCCTCTCGCTGAACAATCAATTATGATCATTCGATGGGGGTCAAACGACCAGCCGCAAATGAAGGCCCATTAGTGTCCAGAGGTGTTCCGACAAGGGTAGAGTGAGCCAAGATTGAGGGGAAAACAACAACCTTGTATTATTGTAGTCATTAATTACATGATCTAAATAAAAAGTGACAAGCATCATGGGCTTTTTTTCTGGTATACAGTATATATTTAATATCCAAGTAAGGGTGCAAACTTGTCCTGTTTTTACCTACGAAATTGTCCAAAACTCACTATCCAAAATCCCACTAACAGCTGAGCTGGCTATACCACGTTCTGCTTCATCCTACCCTTGACCTGCAATGCAGATAAAGATGGCGAGTCTGTGTGAGGAAAGGGAAGTTTACACGAAGGTTTACAGATAACATAAGCAAATAGAGGTCGCGCGCAAGAGAGATAGAGAGATATAGAGAGAGAAAGAGGGGGGCAGGAAGAAACGTGCTATAGTTGTGAAGCATGCAAGTTATTGGCTGCTTCTCCATCTCCTTGGATGTTTTATGAAAGGCAATAATGCACTACTGTATTTGAACTAGTAACAAAAAAATATATTGCTGGAAAAGCTAGACAAATATGGCTAAGTTTTCCATAATAAAGTTTTACATTCTATACTTTCCCAATTTTGAGGTAATTCTTACTCAAAATTTAGACAATAGTACAAGTGTGTTGATTTATGACAAAGTGCCATGCATTTAAAAGTACAAAGAAATAACTTTAAAGATGATTCTATATTCCACAAATATGACTAAACTTAGAGCAGCCTTTGTAATGGAGAAGTCGCAAATGTTCTTAGCAACAGAAATAATACTCACACAACATCCGCGCATGGATGAAGCTGACCGGCACGTCTACAGCTATAGAGAGCTTTAACAACTCCTCCAGGAAAAGGGGGAGGGGGCAAATAAACTCACCCTATATAACTGAAGCTGATCACCTTAATTAAAAAGAAGAGTGCTTCATGCAATGTTTACACCAACTTCCCCCCTTATCCTATATTTCAGCTTCATATTTCTTCTGTTTCTCCTGTCACTATCACACACACTTTCTTATTCTATTAAGCATCCCTTCCCCAATTTACTCTGAACTCAAACTGTTTCCACCCAGGCCTCACCCTTACCATTTCGTGTTATTCACACTCACGAGTGCACAGTGTACGGTGAACTAATAAAGTACTTGAGTATCTGCTGGAATCAGGAATGACCTGCTTAGGGAGGTATTGTATACTGAAGGGAAAATAAAGATAGAATTAATGTTACAAGATACAAGATAGAATTCCTATTAGGAATACCATGTGTGACAAATAAGACCAGACAAGACATTATGTTACAGGGAAGGACTAAACAAATTAAACCTCATATCACGAAGAAAAAAGAACATGAAAGACATAGCAGTCCACGTGCAAAAATCTTATGGTAAGAGACAAGGCCAAACTGCAGTATTTAGAAAGGGTGGTACATGACTAAGGAAACAGGTGGAAATGAAGTATCCAAATGAGGTTCTTAATCTATAAACCAGTTGCTTGAAATTGACAGGCAGGACCAAACAACTAAAGCTCAACTCTGGCGCAATTGGGCGATTACACTCCCTCTACATGTCTACCCCCACCTTCTTTCAGGCCTCCCTCTCCCCCCTTTCAAATTCCCAAACATTTTCAATTCACCATTCTATCATTTTACCCATGTTCACAATGCTAAAACTATATTGTTACAATCTTCAATGTTGCAGTTAAAGCTTTTCAAACCCCAATTTTCTGTCATCTTCATTCCATATCCTAGTCTCCTACATCCTCCTCAGATCAACCATACCCAATGCTCTCACTTCAGACTTTTCACATTCATACCACACTATCATCGCTAAGTTGACAGTAAGGATCAGTATACAACTTATTCACAGAGTTCTCTGGCTGAATCTATTATTACCTACATTTTCTTACCAAGTCATTCATCACACCAGCCACTTTCCTTACTTGCAGACGATTAGTCACAATAACGTGGCTGAAATATGTTGACCAAACCACACTAGAAAGTGAAGGGACGACGAAGTTTCGATCCGTCCTGGACCACTCTCAAGTCGATTGTCAATCGACAATGAGAATGGTCCAGGACGAATCGAAACACCGTCGTCCCTTCACTTTCCAGTGTGTGGTTTGGTCAACTTTCCTTACTTAACACACACTGCTCTAATTCTATTTTACAAATTCCTCTCAGCACACATCCCAGGTATTTAAACTGATCATCTTTCTCTAGTGCAATATATCCCTTCACATTTACTTCAAACAAGTTCCTTCTCTCCATTTTCACCATACCCTTTCTGTTCACATATATTAACAGTATTTCCTGGCAACAATTTCCGACTAGTCTACATACTGCAATCTCTCGCTACTAGAAGCGCTAACATCAGCATGCAACAGATTTCATATACAGTACTTCAATAACTTTAATCCTTTACAGTACACACGATATACACCACTCAATCATTCTTACCTGACCTCTGACATGACACTAAAGGCACCCAGTGAAGTCAATTAGTATGAAAGTTTGCCAAGAACTACAATAAAAAGTGGCAGACTTATGCTCTTAACACAATAACAAATGAAACTGATGTTTAAAAGAAAACACGATATTACTAAGAATACAGTACCAAGTACTGTACCATCAGTAGGGAAGAATTTGTTTAAAATAGTGTAGCTCTGCTGTAAGAGCTACACTGGACTTTCAAAGGTAACCCATAGGACTACACATTAGACATGGCAGCATTCATGACAAATAATGATAGTGGTCATCTACAACCCACCACAAAAATGGCAAAAGTTCAGGGAAGAATATTACAAAATACAGGAAAACTGAATGAACACACAGTAGTATAAAAGGCAGCTCCATTTGCAATGAGAGTAAGGGAAAAACTTTAAATCCACAAGTACAGTACTATATTAATCACAAGTGAAAACAACTAAGAAGGAAATAAACTACACAAGGATGACGACACAAGGAAAGCAAAATTGGGACAGTGAACAATCGCTTCTTGAGGCAATCTATCACACAACCAGCAAGAAGAGTGGACTTGCGTGAATCACTAAACCCGATTTTAAACCAAAATGTGGCAAACATCATGAAGATACAATATTAGATGCTCATAAGACACCAGTGGCAACTGCATTATGTTAAATTACTGTACATCACAATTAAATTATATCACAATCGACTTGATAATGGTCCAGGACGGACCGAAACATCATATCGTTTGGTGTGTGATTTAGTCTTCTTAAATTACTATACTTTCAAACACAGTGATGGAAGGAGTTCTAAACAAACAACAGATTGAGGAATGTGCACGACTGCAGATAAGGGATCTACAGCAAGAACTTATCACAATGTCCAATGGAAGAATGACCTGGATACAAATAAATGAGATAATACAACATTTCTTACATTCTTGAAAAGCCACTAGCACACATCGCATTTTGGGCAGATCCATAATCCTAATTTATCCCAGGAATATGACCCACCAAATCGTTAACAACTGTTCACTGCTGCGTGAACAGAGGCTGCAGTTAAGGATTGGCACGCAGTTAAGGATTGGCACCCAGTCAATCCTCCCTAGCCAGGATACAAAAACAGGCCAAAGCGCTGGACAAGTGTTTTACCATTGTGCAACAGAGACGGCTGCCATAATGGAACTCATGCTGTGTACCTGGAAATGTGCAAGTACCATGGACCAGTTCATTCCACTTTGGATAGATGTCAACAAGATATGTAAAGTTAATACGATATTCAAATCAGACCAGAGATGAAAAACGGAACCAAAATGTGTGGAAAAAGTACTGACAACTAAAGCACAAGAGGTTAACAGTGGAGCCTTAAAGAGCCAGAAATGACTGAACCAGAAATGAACACACTTGTCATTTGACAATGACAGTCATAAAAACATGGACAAGGCAAAGCTGTTGATTACAACAGAGGAAAATAATAGTAAGCGATCATGCGATCCATCATAGAAAAGGGATCGTCTTCACAAAAATAGCAACAATGACAAAAATCTCGATATCTTCCAGGAGGTACACAAAACAATTGGCATGGATACTTTGGGAAGTGTGACATCAGAACAGAACTGTTGCCACATAAAGCAAAAACACATCTAAAGGAATAAGATAATAAAAGCAATGGAATTAGATGATATCAGCAAAGGCTGATAATGTTAGTTTCTCTAGCATTTAGTAGGCCACTGCTAAGGATCTTGTACCGAACTTGGGCTTAAACGTAATTCCAGAACTGACATGAAGTGGATGAAAATAGATAAGCAACAGTATATGGAGACAACTGCTAAACATATAAATGGCATTCAAAAACATAAACCTAGACTTTTATTCAGGACAATTTACATAGCCTAGATCACAACAATTCTAGAATTGGAAATTGCACCCAGTAAGAAACACACACTAGATTGAAGAAGCTCATAGGTACATAAATAAGGTGGGTGCCCATTCTAAGATATCAACATTATGAAGACAGGTTATAGAATCATTGTTCCACTTATGGAGGAACAACTAAGATAGTAGTCCCTATGTACAAAATACTGTGGAACACGGAATGTGAACAAGGGACAGCCTGTCAAATTGAGGAAAATAGAGCAAAGCATTGGTGTTGTTTGGAAATGAAGCTAAACAGAAAGCAGCAAGAAAACACTTGTACACAGTGAGGTAGTTAATTAGAGGAATGCACTGGAAGTAGAAGCCACCTCCAACCACAGCTTCAAGTATTCTGTCTGTTCAATAAAACAGACAATACCAGTCTGTAATAAGAAATTTTAATGCACCGTATATACATTGTTCATATAATACACACACACACAAAATCTGAGGCAAAGCTTGAAGAGCTAGATCACTGATACGTAAACGCAAAAAAAAGTACACACACACGAGAAAAGATGTCCAATCATAGTATCTTCTTGAGAGGTTATCTCGAGATGATTTCGGGGCTTTTTAGTGTCCCCGCGGCCCGGTCCTCGACCAGGCCTCCACCCCCCAGGAAGCAGCCCGTGACAGCTGACTAACAGGTACCTATTTTACTGCTAGGTAACAGGGGCATAGGGTGAAAGAAACTCTGCTCATTGTTTCTCGCCAGCACCTGGGATCGAACCCAGGATCACAGGATCAAGTCCAGCGTGCTGTCCGCTCGGCCGACTGGCTCCCCTAGGCGAGTAGGTGTAGTAGGTGACATATTCAACATTAACACACACTTATTCAGGTCACACATGAATGAATCATTTGCCGATCCGATTCAGTTGTTCCACTAACACATTAATGCATCACTATCCCCAAATTGCTTCAGTAGCCATGACACCTCATGCACATACTGTAATACTTTATCCTTTCGCTTTACTCCAGAACAATAATTTAATTTTTTTTTAGTATCCAACAGGAAATTACTGTACACCATTCTACATACTCAGTGCTTGAAATGAATTGGTCACTTTAGACAATAAAACAGGCCCCCAAATTATGACTCAAGTGCACATATTGAGTTTTTATCAAGTGAAACTGGCATTAGTAAAGTATGATAAATTGATTTATCAACCAAATGTCCATAACTCCATCACCCACACTTCTTATAAAATGCCATTTACTGATTTACGTGAAAGATCATGTACTCTACTGTACGAAGTAATTAAATTAAGGGCTTTAAAAACTTTTGTTCTGATATCTGACTTGATGAGAGCATCTCATGTTTGTGGAGAAAGCACATTGACAAACCTTATTAATGTTGGACATCATTTCAAAACAGACAAAAAAAATTACCAATTAACTTTCATTCATTATAAAATGGTACAGCATTTGTGTAACTTTTGAAAATTTATTTTAGCAAACCACCAAAATGTTTAAAGAAAAGAACTTATTGTGCCCTCAAACAATAATAATGTAGAAAAGCCCATGCATTATTTAAATAAAATTTCTCTCTACCCTTGTCGTGGAACTACATAAAAATATAAATGAATACGTGAGGCAGACAGAGAGAACCCCCACTAAGGTGATATACAGAATGTTGCTCTCTGAATTATGGAAAATAAGTCCAGGGTGTGTACAAATCAGGTTGGAAAAACAGGCAGCACTCCACTTACCTCATGACATCTTTAAACGAAAATATTCTTAGTCACGTGGTGCAATTAAAAACACAAAATGCAATAATGCATTGTCTTCATTGCAAAACCTTGCTGCTTTACCAAACAGAGCCAATAATGGCAGTTTAGCTAAAAAACCAATTTGCCAGTTTTCTTAATTTATTACACTGTACTGATAAATTTATTTGCATATGTATGCTCACTTGTTCCCTACTCTTGCTCAAACTTTACCCCCCTTTTTACAGTAATCTTCCCCCCCCCCCCCCAACTCTTTTTCCAACCCCCCTCCTCCTTCCTCGTGTACAGTACGTGTAAATTATGTTTCTTAGGGAAAAGTCCTCTGGTTATACTAGGTAGGAGAAAGAAGAGGTTGTTACCATGGGCAAAAAGGCTAAATTGATGTAGAAATGTGATCAAGGCTAAGGAGTGAGGAAGTTGGCTGAATGTGATGGCACTAGCCATGTTTCTGAAATATATATAAAAATAATTAAGAGTTTATTGGTTTAGAGAGCAAATTTTGGTTCCAAAGAATGAAAAAATTGCTCAAGTAGGTGTAAATTTTGGAAAGTCTTCATTGCAAAACCTTGTAATGACAGTTTAAATATAAAAATTTAGTCTACCAAAAGTACCAAAATAATTAACAGTTTTATACTTTTCCATTACAATTTCTTTTTATACATTTAAAAGTGTCGGTATGCAGAAGTGTGTACAGTACTATACAAGTATTTTATCTTTCTCGGTAAACAAAATAAATGGATTGAAAATTACTGTACAAGCTATTTATATTAAATGCACACTCAATTCCTCTTAAGTAACCTCTAATATTGTTTTGCTCAGTTCCTCTCCTCCCCAAATAGGAGTTCTGGTTAATAGCAATCTAAGTACAACAGTATGTCAAGAGGACCACGGTGGGTTTGTCTTCTTGCCAGACAAAACAGCACTATCTCTAGAACCCAGAGAATCAGATTGCCAACAAAGGGGCTAACTAGCACTCAAATTAAAAACATTGAGACTAAAAACCATATCCAAAACAAAAAAGTTAACGACATATAAAGGCACTGCCTCCCACCGTTAGTTTCAACACAATTGCTGTACCAATGAGGCCACCATAAGGCAAGGCATGACAGTGACATAGTATTGACCAATACTATGCAGGCTTGTACTGTGTTAATACCAACCTTTACTTACAGTGCACATCCCCACTTTCATGAGATGGAAGGACACAAGCTCTGAGAATGTTTTTTTTTTTTATTTTTTTTTTTTAACAAGTGTACTGGAAGTGCTTCTCAAAATATATGCAGGACAAGAATATAGTCACTCTCCATCAAACTGTTTCCTCTCAACCTTGTCTCTTAGCACATCAAATGCAATTTCCACTCACAATCCACACTTCCTCAAACTTTTACTGTGATGACTGAATACATAAAATGATGGATGTGTATAGATTTCTTGTAACCACACGTACCACAACCCCTCTCCTACTCCCACTATCACACTCAACGGGGAAACACCATTAAGAGTTTAATACTTCAATTAGATTTTTGTATCACCAAATTAATTTCTCCAACTATATTGCAAAATGGTTACCTAGAATTTATGGTAAGTATAATACTGTACCTATATTCCATAGTACTCTTAACACACAGTACAAAACGGTTGCAAACACACGCATGCCATTCTTTTGAGCTGGAGCTAATGAGCTAAGCACTGTCACTCAAAACTTTATACAGTAGATTAAAATGGTAACATTTTTGTCTGAATGCTCAGTGTGTTGTATCAAGCGAAGAAAAATACCCAATTAAATAATGCAAAAATTAAAACAAATTAAAGTTTATATGATCATAGTTTGCACAAGATTTATTTCAGGCTACATGTTTGGCAAAGTGTCAGCAAGGTCTTGTAACGAATAGTTTCAATACATTATGTCCTTACCTTGTTACGAAGATAATCATATCTGAAAAAAATTCTGAACTATAAAATCGACCAAGAGCCAGGGTGCAACTCATTTTGCAAAAATTGTGTCAACTGCCATATGAAGCGAGAGAGCGCGAAAAAAAAAGAGAGAGATTTCAGAAGATTTAGAAGAAAAATTTAGGAAAGAACAAATCAGAAGCAGAAGCACACTAGTTACCCAATATGCCTGAGTTGGTGAAGCGTCGTATCCATCAGAAGATTTACGCGCTCATCATCAAAATACACTTCTTGGTCGTAAGGAAGGTTTGGGGGATACATAGCCTGTGGTGGTGGTGTTTGTGATTGTCAGTGCTCGAGTGAGAAAACAGGCCACAAGATTTCGACAAAATTGCACTGCTGCTCATATCAATATTTTTTAATTTATAACCAGTAGACACTAAATGTAACACGTACAGAAATAAAAAAATAATGCATAAAAGGTAAACAAAATTTGCTCAAACTTAAAATCTCTACACAATTCCACTGCTCGGCATAAAGTACTGTACTGTGTTATACTGAATGTTTTAACCAAACAGTACATGCATGCTAAATTATGTGCAAAAGTTTGAGGCAACCAATTGATAACATTCCACTAATGTATTGAAACAAATATATGAACTATGCTTTAAATACTCTCAAAGATTTGCTGCATTTATGCAAGAATTATGCAAGAATTATTTCACTACAAAATTAACATTGGCCAAGTCAATATAACAAGATCTACTCATTACCGAGTACAGTTCGTGGCAGATTGTATTCTCGGAACATGAACAATCAAGTTGCAAATCACAAGCTTCAAAACAATACGAGTTCTGTTTTTCTGTATTTTATTTCTTAAAGTCAGTTCAAATGTAGAGCACTTATCAGCTCAGAACTAAAAGCACTTTGTAAAAGTGAGAGTGCTGTATATGCATAAAGTGTCAACTAACACGATTAATCAATCCAAACTAATGAATTTACAGAAAATCAATGAACAAATTCATGAAAACCATTTTTTGTTCACCAAATTTGCACAATTTGAAACCAGAAATTAAACTACTTGTTATTAACTACTGGTAGATTTTAAACTATTCACACACTTGTATAATATTTACCTTATTAGCATGAACACAGTTTTAATTATCAAATTTGAAAACATTATATACCAGGCCTTCAATCATTGAAATACATGCACAGTACTGGAATCCTAATATCTCAATTTCACGATTACTAAAATAAATATTAAACAAGAAATTCTACAAAAACATTACCCCACATGCATATTAAAACATTACCACCTGGTCTTCAAAATAGAGGCATGCACCACACACTATTCATAAAAATAGTATCCCAAAAGCAATATAAATTTCAGATGTATTTTACTAATATTTAGCCGAGAAAAAAATTAATTTTAAAAGGAATAAAATTTTAAACTATTTTTACTAAGAACGCACAAGGCCCCTAGACTACTTCTGTAATTGATGCTCTGGAACTAAATTCCAAGGACAATGAAAATCAAACAAGCTAGTGACAGCACTCTAAAGTAATTCGTTAAACTAGAAAAAATTGTATTACTGGTATTTTATTACTTGACTAATATATTAAAATTCATTGCAGCAATAAGCAGTGAAATATTTGGACAGCAAAACTGTGATAAAATACAAAAACAAAACAACACTTTCACATTCCAGTAGTGCTTTCTCCCTCCTCCTAAGTTAACCACTACATTTGATCACCACCTCTTCAACGTTGCGTAATAACTTAAGAGGGTATACTCATCCTCTGTTCGTAAATCTATCAACAGAGATAAAACACTGATTTGGTAATAAAAGATATAGAAATGTCTTTCAGAACAGCACTAGGTACAAAACTGGATAAACACTGTCGACTTGGCAAAAATTAACACACACTTCTATTTTTATCGAGCTGTTTAGGGTCATAAGACACCTAAGATTGCTGGATTGTTTCGAGTGAAAATTAAAAAGGTGTCCTTTCTTGCATGAGCCAATAAGGCCTTTTGCTGTTACCTATATTCTTACATTCATAATTTTGTTTATATTCTAAAATACACAAAAAGATTTATCTAAATCACTGAAGAAAAAATTACTTGAGTAAGGTTTATTAAATTAATTTTTTTAATGCAAACCATAATTTGCAAATACTGTAGACCAATTGAATGTTGGGGGTATTGATGAACACAACACTCATTTTCCATTTACAAAACCAAAAGGTTAAGGTTACAAAATCAAGGTTAAGATTTTGGAGGTTGCAGTGTACATTCACGGGGCGATACAAAGGTAGATGATATGGACAAGCCACCAAGTGGCTTCGGCTACTCTGTGTAGCCAAAGGAGAGCGCAATAAAGAAGAAAGGCCCCCCCCCCAACCCTTGGTAGTGGTTACAGGTGGCGATAGACAACCAAGTTTGCTCCCAGTCAAAAATTTACATGTAGAGTACCTGGCAGCATAACTAATTATGATTTATGAAGTTAAACTTATTATCTTCAATTATAAGTTAAAGGCACAATTATAACAATGAACTGTATCAATTTTTTTTTGTATTTTGTATTGGTGTTAATGTTAATAAAATTAATCAGTGAATTTAGTTATACTGTACTTCACACAACACACAAACATAATGCAAGTGTGTATTCAGGTACACAAATACACGCACAATTTACAATTAAATTAGCCAACACATTAGTCATATACAATATTTAGTTAATACTTTATGCCTCTTTAATTATATACTTTTTATTTATCTTCATTTATATTGATATCGTTAAATACTGTAGATACACTTATCAAACTTAACTTTGTATTACTGTATAGCCTGCAATGATCTCAGACGCCACAGTGACTCAACATGCCCATCAAGCGATCCGTCAATTCATGAACAAAGTACCACTGTTCACAAGAGATTTATGGCCAATGCAAAGTAAGTTACATACCAGCAAATAGGTTTTCCTCTTTATATATATAGAATTTTAAAATAATTAGTAATCTGAAAGGCAAATATCTGGATTACATAAGACTTGAGTAAATCTTCCAACACATTTAAATAATTCTACAATATTAAGAAAATTTTAGTACAATAAATACAGAAACTGCAAGCCCAAACGGATAAAATACTGCTTGGACTGTGGCACCAAATACAAATTCCAGGTTTTGTATTACTGTGAGGGTTAGTGATTGTTTTCCTGTGTCTACAGTAGAGGAACAGTATTATAACAAAAAAAAAAAAAGGAAAAAAATACAACGTAACTTCTCTTAGGTCTAATATAAACAATCCCAGGCATAATATATGCGATCTAAGAACTAATCTAGTCAATTTATGTACAGTACTGTACTAGATGTACAAGAGATTAGGTGAAGATTATGTCTTTTCTCTTAAACCCTTTACGATACTAATGTATTGTAAAGGGCTCAAGGGGGTATTGTAAAGGGCTCAAGGGGGTAATTATAAAAGGTGCCCAAAATATATCTGCACAATACACAAACATTATGGGCACCACCATTCCCATTTTTTAAATGTATTCTTAAAGTTACTAAACATACAATCTTTTTGGGGAAGTAATGAAAACTTCACCCAAGCTTAACTAAGAGAATATTGACGGTTGAGAGGCGGGACCAAAGAGCCAGAGCTCAACCCCTGCAAGCACAACTAGGCGAGTACTACATCTATGGTTATACCTGGACACAAGTCACACTGTAAATGTAAAGCAAGAGGCCTACATCACCATCACATGGTTGAAGAGCATCAACAATGCTAGTTTAATGCTAATGACAAAAATGTAATTGTCCACACTAAAATCTACATTTCACTAAAGCCTTAAACAAATATGGTTTTATAATAAAGTCATCCTGCAAAGATAAATACGCCCATAAATATATTACAATTGACACAAAAGTCTCGGTATAAAATTCTAAGACAGGACAAGTTTGCACCACATTAATAAATGGAAAATTAGAACCACATAAAAATCTACTTAAGTGAATGCAAATTACTTTAAGTCACTAACAAATACTGTAAAGACAAATTAATTTCAGTTGTTTTCACACCACTTAGGCTACTCCACAAATTAAAAAAATATTTAAGGAAACAAAGAACTGAGCAGGAACATCTAAATTTTGCATTTTCTTGCTTCAAATTGGCAATTCTACTCTGTGCATACAACAGACAATATAAAATCAATTACAACTGTTCTTCACTCATTTGAAACTGCTGGATATTTATCTAAATATATGGTACTGTATACAGTATATATACACAATATATAAATTATGCATTTACACATTCATAATAGCCAGAACCACACTACTAGACTTGCTATTCAAGATACAATTTTGCCCAATAGCCAATGCTTTTTTTTCATCTGCACATTAATCAATTTTAACACTGGCCCTCCGGCCTCTGCACGTTCCTAACGGTAAACATTCTGGATGCCCCAGGCTGCTAATGGGGGCACCTAGCGATGTGAAATTTCTTTACCATTATCTTACGTTTTCCATATATCTGTTGGGATATAGCTATAAATTTGGTGTTAAAATGTTCACAAATGAATTCTCTAGAAAACAGATGCAAAAACAAGTGTTTGTATAATACTGTACGAGCTCAGTTATCCGAATCCTGTTGAACCAAATATTTGAGTTATCCAGCCAAAATTGCATACGGATAATTTTTATAGCAAAACTTCACCATATCCAGACAAATTCAGATGACCAGAGTTTAGGTTAGGTAAATTTTCAAGAATTATAGATTTCAAGATAATATTTGAAAATAAGAGTATATAAAAACCACTGTTAAGCAAAATGGCCTTTGCTAACAAGGCCCAGATGTGTAGTTCTGGCTATTATGAAACAGAATCGTACATACATACACACACATGCACAAATACCACAAACCACTGGCTATTTTATGAAGCAGATCATAAAGTAGAAACAGTTTTAAACATTTGTGTCCTTCAGACAGAATGAGCACACGTGTAAGACAGCATCCAACATCAGGTTCAGGGAAAACCTATGCTGAAGTCAAAAGCTGAATAGCATGTTCAGACACCTTATTAAATAACCTACCTTAACCAAACATAAAAGTTAACAAATACTTTAATGACAGGCCAAAATGCTGTACGCATTTGTTTTTTTGACGCAGTCAAAGAGGCAACCCTGATTATCCAGACCAACTGGTACCCATGAGGAAGCTTCAGGAAGCTCTTCACATCAGCACTGTTCAACTATCAACTTTTCCCAAGTTTTCTTGATCAATTCTTATGCTAATAGTCATTTTGTTTCTGAAATCTTTC